ATCCCGATTTTCGACTAAGAAAAAATATCGTAGTATGCCCTGAAACTTTAATAAACATTTCAAATTTTGTCCCAAGGTAGGCCTTTTAGTACTTGACATTTCAAAAACAAAATTATTGAAATCGGTTCACAACTTCAAATTTTAGGGGGGTGTTTCCATTAAAAATGGGTCACACTGTATATATTTTATCGAGTGTGCATGATACAAATCAAAACTGAAACAATTCGTGGACACAACACTCGATAAAATTCCTATTTGTATTTATATCCTGGACCCGGATGTCACGCATGTAGCTATAGCTGCTTACGTGGTCATTGTTAGATGTAGCCTGGGAATTCTAGGTCATCTAATTGGAACCACAAATGTGCGGTTGGTTTCTATTGTTGACTCCGTGCATATGTATTGTTTCCTGCTTTCGGCAAACAAGTGTTGCCCATCTTGGCTGCACCGTGCTGATGAGGCCAATAGCCAGAATTACGTGTCCGCGGTTTGCCCCCCTTTTTTGGAGTGTTGTGTCCACGAATTGTTTCATTTTTGATTTGTATCATGCACACTCGATAATAATTATTGAATAACAAAATTAGTTAGCTCCCTAACATTATTAAAGGGGAACTGTTGAAAGATAGGTTGCAGTATATCGTTTACTTTAACTTCACCATATACTTGAGCTATATTCTGGGTTAGAGTGTACAATTGAGCAGTTTTGATAATTTCAATACTGCTGGCGAAATGTCCCTTGATGATCTCAATGCAAAGCTTGATAGTTTGAAAGCTTTAGATACAACGGAGGTTATATGTGGTTTGAATGTTAGTCTAATGTCAAATAACACATCAAGTTCTTAATGGTTTCTATGGTAATCGAACTCGATTGGGCTACTACTTTTTGACAATTTTATGTGGAAGCATTTTTTTGCCATTGAATTCAGTAAATTCATGTCGCACCATCTCACAAAGTGATCATCTTGTAGTAGTTCATCTTCTTCAATCACTTTCAAATCAAAAGAATGTATGTACTACTATATAGACCGATTTTTGAGGCTGATTTCACTATCGCTATCTCGGAATTTTGAAAAATTCTCCAAAAACTAGGGCTGTTTAGCTTCGAATGATATAGAAAAAGTCCGAGGAACTTTCCATACTGTTTTATAATTGTTTGTAAACCAATTTACAATACGACATTTCGTTTCAGGTTCAGATACTGTGATATCACACTCTCCAGAGCTAAACCCCATGAACATGTTTGCAATCCAATCGGAAAAAGACTTTTGAGTCAACATATAAACTATATGGCTTTTGTAACTTTTATTCCTCCCACCAACAAACCAAACATGCTAAACAGCTGAAACTATCAACATATGTTCGAGACGACTGTAGGTACCGACATGAAAAAATTAAAAAATCGCTGATAGAATGTACGACCATTCAGCTTATTTTTGAAGAGACCTCGTATATATGTGTGCTAACTTCTTAGAGCGCCCGTACACGAGCCACATTTTGCGGTCGGATCGATCACACAATTGCAGTCGCGTTCCAGCGAACTCAAGCCGCCCATAAGAAATACTGTACTACACGTACACGGGCGTTCGCAAAAGTCAAAACGGGCGTCTGCTGTCAACTTGCTGCTGATCTCCACCGAGATGTCATTGCGGCATCCGCCGTACACGAACCACAAACTTGCAGTCGTACCCAACCGCGTACACCGTTGTACCCAAATAACTCATAACTCGTAAACGATAGGGAGTTAAAGAACGTCTCCGATATGGAAAATAGATTTGATACCGATACATTTTATTTTTTAGATTATCAAATGAAATATAAAAATTTCCTTCCTGTTGTCGGGCAACCAGAAGTGGGTCTCCTTCTCCTCAAAATAAGAAGTAGTAGTGCTTCTTATTCGAAATCATTTTGAAACTGGCACTAAACTGATACCACAAAATATAGATGTCAGTTGCCTCAACTGCAAGTGCTGTTTATATGACCGCAAGCCGACCACAAAAATGTGGTTAGGTCAACCGCGAAGCGCAGTCAACGTGGCCACAATATTGTGGTTGCCTCAACTGCAAATATGTAGTCCGTGTACGGCCGGACTTATTGCTTTTGACAGAATGATCAACCGAATCAGTATTTATATAACATCATCTACGGAGCAATGAATCAGAGAAGCCAACAAATAAAAACAAACCATTGTACTTACCCTCGGTGGCATAGGACCCCACGACTTGTTCCAGTTTTCTCCAGCCTCAGTTATCCGATAGTAAGAATTCAATTCTGAAGACTCGTCCATATAAGCCGGATAGTCCAAACTGGGATGTTCGTACCCCCTAGGAGGAGGGGTGTAGAAACTACTCTGTGCACCAGCTCCCGTAGGAGTTCCCGGAGTGGACTTCTGCGCCACCACCACGGAGGAGCCACGGAGATTGTTCGGTATATTGATCACTGTCGTTTCTTCTGGGTTGATTATTCCTCTGGGAATGACGAGTTTTTGTGCCATATTTGCTTCGTCGGTGGTATTTCACTGGAATTTTGAGTTGATATGTGAGTCAGAAAGGTGTGACAGACATTGGAAAATAAAATTAGTTTGACAAAATGTGACGGAGTTTGATGGGTGGTCACTGGATTATCGGGATGATCCTAGTCCAGGCGCTTTGCGAAAAATGATCATTTTGCAACTTTCACGACAGGTGAATAGTCTGAAAGATTTTTAAGGCACAGTAATGTCGATAGTTGAGGGGTTATGTTTGTAGTAAGTCGTGTCACGAAGTGTTCTGGCGATTTTTTGAATTCATTGGGGCATGTAAAGACACCCTAAATTTTGTTTCGTGAAAGAGAGGACATTGGTAGATCAAGATCTTCAGATGATGTGGTACTGCAAATTTTTCCGGGTTTTCCTGCAGCTGAAAAAGCAAATGCGCCACTGGAATCAATGAAGTCGCCCCGGAGCGCCGATTAATTTTTGTTCTTTCATAATTTCATGATTTGTATTACTTTCATCTATGGCATTAAGTCAGCTATCAGAATCTTGAGCTCAAGTGATACGTTGGCCAAATACGATGAATCCACACTTTCAGTTCTCCGATCAAAACGCTCTCAATCAGATTCCTTCACACATTCTCTGGATTCGAAAGTACTACACGATTTTTCAAAGTTTCCGGTGTTCCAATTTCCAGAACACCAAGTATCGGAGGCAATTAAATCTTTTCGTTCTGGTTCTGCTGGTAGTATGGATTCTTTCCGCCCTAGTCATATGCAAGACCTCATTAGTCACAGCTCTGGAAATTCAGGACATAAACTTCTTTCTTCCTATACTTTTTGGCGCTTCACTGTGTGCTCTTCGGAAAAACGATGGAGGAGTAAGACCGATTGCCGTCGGAACCTTTTATCGTCGATTGGTAGCTAAACTTGGTTGTAGGAGGATTAAAGATGAACTAGGATCGATGTTACGTCCACTGCAGGTGGATGTGAAACTGTTGCTCATGCTGCTCGTAGATATATTAATCTTCATCCAAATCCCGATTCAAAAATTTTCCTGAAAATAGACTTCAAAAATAGAAACATCATGCTTCGTAAGGTTGAAGATTCGTTTCCAGAATTATATCCCTTCTTAAGTCAGTGTTATAAATCAGCTTCCTATTTGAGTTTTTGTGAACATCTTATTCTGTCTGAGAGAGGTGTTCAACAAGGTGATCCCTTAGGACCTGCCCTTTTTTGTCTGACCATCAACGAACTCACTAGAAGCTCATCATCCGAATTTAATTGTTGGTATTTGGACGATGGCTCAATCGCTGGCGATGAAAACAGTGTTTCAAAGGATTTAGAAAAAATCATTGATTATTCAAAACATCTTGGACTTGAACTAAATTTTGAAAAATGTGAGTTGATTACTCTTTCAACTCCGAATAATATTTCCGAAACCATTTTGAAATTGTCTCCTGGCATAAGAATTTTGGAAAAGTCTAAATGGAGTCTTCTGGGTGCTCCTCTCTCTAAAGATTCACTTTCAGAACATCTTCGAGGAAAACGGGAATCACTCAAATTGCTGACCACCAGATTGAATGAACTTCCAAAACACGTTGCATTTTTTTTTTTTGAAAATTGTTTGGCGATTCCAAAACTCATGTATGCCCTCAGATGTTCCCCCACTTGGTCCAGTCAGTTAGAGCTTGACGAATTTGATAATTTACTCCGCAACATGACGGAATATGTTACGAACAATCAATTCAATAATGATTCATGGCTCCAAGCAACGCTTCCTGTAAACCTTGGCGGACTAGGGCTACATTCGGCTTCTTCCGTAGCTTTACCAGCTTTTCTGTCATCAGTCAATAGTGTTTCCGATCTTATCGATTCCATCCTTTCTTCCATATTTATCAATATCAAAGACGTTTTTTATGCTGATGGTGAATCACTTTGGCATGCCGCAACTAATATTGCTCCTCCTACAGATAAAAAGAAAATACAAAGTACATGGGACCGACCTCTTCTGAACATTATAAATGATAAACTTCTGAAATCTACAAGTGTATACGATAAGGCTCGTCTGAAAGCAGCAATGATCAAGGAATCGGGTACTTGGCTGAATGCTTTACCTGTTGCATCTCTTGGAACACTATTAGACGATGAATTTTTCAGAATAGCAGTAGGACTTAGGATGGGTTCATCTATTTGTGTGCGTCGTACTTGTGTTTGCGGTAGTATAGTTGATGAGAAAGGTACACATGGTTTGAGTTGCAGGAGAAGTGCAGGGCGTACATCTCGACATCACCAAGTAAACGACATATTGAAAAGAGCTATGTTGTCAGCGGATGTTCCTGCAATTCTGAAAACCCTTAGGTACCAGTCGAGATGATGGTAAACGACCAGATGATATGTCTCTCATACCATCATACCCATCTAGCCGGAAGTTCGAAGTCTGCTGGAACTGCAGCATTGTTCGGCAAGAAATTGAAAAGAAAAAATACCAAAATCGTGGTAACAACTATCTGTTGGTGTTTATGGTCCGGAGTCTCTGTTATTCGTTCATGAACTCGGAAGGAGAATAGGCCAAGCAACGAAAGATCACTGTTCTACCTCTTTTTTGATAGAAACAATTAGTATTGCTATTCAACGTAGCAATGCTGCTTCAGTCCTTGGAACTATTCCTCCTTCACATAATTTCAGTACGGAACTGAAATCTCTTCAAAACAAGTCGAGATATGTGAATATTCATCAGTCTCCTATTAAGGTTAATTCACAAGTGATTGATCTACCTTCTTCTTTTTCAGTGCGGTCAGTGGACTCAGGTCATTCTTGCCCCCCAAATATGAGTTGCAGTCCTCGTAGAACTGCTTCCCTTTCAATGGAAGAACTTCATGAAGCAAGAGCCGAATCGATNGTTTACACCAGCCGTGCGCAATCGTAACATGGCCATTAACGCAACCTCATTAACGTACAGGTCCAGAGGGGTCAGACCCGTATTAATTCCATTACCGGGGTTGGTGTTGTGATTCTGTGAATTCAACACCTCTAGGAAAATAAGAAAACGTGTACGGTGTGACCAAAATAGTCCGCATCAGATAGGAATTATTTTTATTAATGGCGTTATCCAAAAGTTGACTCTGGCATTAGTTTTCGCTACAATTGAGATTGTTTCGAAAAATAAAAAAGTTGGGTTATTACTTGAGTTATCGGAAAAAGTAGCGGAGAAAATGTTTCTACATTGAATTTTCAGCTCATATGAAAAATGTCAACTACATAAAATGGTTTTAAATTTTCAATATTTTTTTGTAAATACCACCACTTGTTTTATATAAGACTAAACTGAACTCGAAACAGCGGTTAGCATTATATGTTATTGAACGATGTTTGCAGTAATTTTTTCCTCAATGAATGTGATGATTTTTGAGTTTATATTTTCTCAATAAGTCTATGAATATGAACTCTTACGACTCAGATGCAAGCTGAATTTCAATAAAAGATGATTTTGTTGACTATATCAATCGTAATACTCACCAAGCATCGTCTATTTTTAATTCTGTGATTATATGATATTTAAAGCTTTCTCTCTAAAAACATGACATTTCTTGGATATTTTCCTCTATGGTTCACCTCTGGGTTTACTGAATTTTAATGATAATAATTTCTATCACAACTATCGCAGTCACTTTTTTGAAAACATAAACTAGGAGCAGAAAAAACGATCTGTGAAAATATTCCGCACTTTACATAAATTACTATAAAATAGTGAAAGAATACCGCATTTGTTTCACCATCTAACGGATGTTTTCTCTTGTTACAAATTAGAGACTGAATGAAACAATATTATTTGAAATGTAACAGTACAGGTAGTAACTTATAGATCACTTTACCTCATAAATCCCTCTGGAATAATATATTTCTCTGAATTTTATATTAGCATAATTAAAGACCAGCAGGTCAAAATCGAAATTGTCTATAGAAAGTTCAATATCTGTGATAAAATTTTGGTAGTTTCTAGCAATATGTTCCAGTTTCAATGTATAGCTGAACAAGAAAATATACCTACGTCAAACCTTTTAGTAAAAATTCTAGCTAGAATTTCCAAAAGTTGGTTCTTCTGAATGATCAGTGTATAATAATTTGATAAAATTCTGTGACTATAGGTGAAGGAACATCATCTTGAAATACAGAAAAACGATTGCTTGAAAGGAATATTTTGAAAATTGTGACACTCATGTTATTTAACGAAGTTTGGTGGAAGTAAAAATAAAAGTATATCAAGCGCCAAACGTGATGGCGAGCGATCCCGCAGGTATAGACTCTCCCAAGCAAATTCATATTGGATTATGATAAGCCCCTTGCCGGTCAGTGTCGTGCCTATAATTGGTTGATTAGGGTACTGAATGGAACATGACTTCTCTGTAAATTCATTTCATATTTTATTCAGTATTGTAGGTAGTAGTTCAGTTCATCAAAATTTATATAATGACCCACTTCTGATGAATGATTTTTTATTAGGCGATGACACTTTTTCAGAAACAACAGAAATTATTCAGACAATACCAAACGCCAACAGCATTGGAGGACAAGTAATGACACGCCTCTGTACAGAGTTTTGCAACGTATATACAACAATTGCAACAATTTTCAATCAAAGGTGATTCATTAGCAACGTCGCATTTGAAGTGACCAACGGATAATCCTCTTACCAACTCTGCAGAGGCTTACCAAAATAATATTTTTTTGTTTTTCCTCATGAGAACTGTGACGTGAAGTTCTATCCAAAAGTTTTAGAAAATAATAGACAGAAACAATATTTCCGATAATTTTATATTTGAAAACACAATGTTTTATACTTTCTTGACTTTATAGGTACTAACGGTGCCACTATAGAATATGCCGCTCCTTCCAAAAGTTCTGCTTGCGTATTGACTTATTTCCCATACTTCCAAGAATAATTAGCTCACTGGATATATTTCATTAGGCTGTGATGATGGTGGAACATATGGGATTTCTGAAAATTAATCATTCTTGCAATTGGGGTAATGAATCATTACACATGCATAATCAAAACCTGACGCTTACTAGTTTTGAGAAGCTGTAGGTAGTAGCCACGTAGAACAACTACGTGGCGACTACGTGGCGACGTAACTACATATTTGGGATGCACAAATTAATAACGCATGTGTAAAGATCTATTGAATGTGCTGTATTTCAGGACAAGTTTCGACAATCCACAAAACTAGTAACAGATCTTTCTCAGCATAATACTCACGCTGTATGATAACTCTGAACAGATGACTGCATCTACTAGTACATGTGTCTAGTCACCATCTTGTCTAGGCGTTTGGGATTGAACACAGATTCTGCAAAAAAGAATTAGGTACATTATCGAATTGAAGTTCGGAAGGTACAAATAAATATAGTTGGAATAAAAAACACACTTTTAAAGAACATTGAACTAAAAAGTTGAAAATATTTTTTTAACTAAGCGACAAGCGCTTGATATACAAAAAATATAGTACAAAGCACCCACGCTATTTTCACAATAATACTAGAATTTTTCATTCGTTATTATTTTAAGCTCATTTGAAAAATAATTTGTAACTTTTTAGTTCGATGTTCTTTAAAAGCGTGTTTTTTAGTGTTTTGAACTATATTTATTTTTCATTTCTTAGTTTCGTATGCTATGAAAGCGTGTTTTTAGTCTTTTTAAACTATATTTATTTTATCTAAACTTTGGGATCCATTAGCCGTTAGATGTGAAAACCTTCCAGCCAGAAAAAAAAAATGTGTTCCAGATGCTTATACGAACATGTTCTCAGGAGATGTCCAGCCTATGGAAAGACATGTGCATTCTGTCAAGGAATAGAACATTTTGCCAAAGCATGTTTAAGAAATAAAATGAGGAAAAAAACTGATGAAGATTTTGACCCCACACCTGACACCATTTTATATTCTTCAGGGATACGGGGTCAATAAGACATACTAGTTTTCATGATGTTTAATGATTTAATCAGGACACAACTTTACATATCAAGATTGTCGAGCGGAATGGACTGTCAGTCAAAAGATGACAATCTACTGTCAAGAAACATAGAACACAAAATACATGATACAACATACAACGTTTTTTTTTTTTTTTTTTTTTCATCTTCTGGATTTAGTGTTTTTAAATTGAAATTACTAGGTGATGAAGGGCTCGATATTTTCAATACAATAAATACCATCATAGCAAACGAAAATCTTAGCAGATGTCTTGAAAGCATATTATGAGTATTTCATTCCAAAGAAAGTTATACCAATGGAAACATTCAAGTTCAATAACCTTCTTCAATCAGATTCATAAACGATAGAGAGAACTAACAACTCAACCTAAGTTGTGCAGTTTTATATGTGAAAAGGAGGATTGCAAAACCAGTTACGAAGAACGTATGATAAGGGATAGATTAATCCTAGGCATAACCGACAAGCAGATCCAAGCTAGGCTGATAAGGGAGCCAGATATAACTATTGCAAAAATTGTAGACTATTGTAAGTCAATAGCCTTGAGTAAACAACATTTAAAAACACTAAATCCAGAAGAAAAAGAAGTTCATGCCTTGAGGAAAGATGTGAAAGCTTTCCAGCCAGAGAGAAAAATGTGTTCCAAATGCTTATACGAACATATTCTCAGGAGATGTCCAGCCTATGGATAGACATGTGCATCCTGTCAAGGAATAGGACATTTTGCCAAAGCATTTTTTTTCTGGTTCCATTTTTCGAAGGATTCGAAAATAAATTGCACTTCCACGTTGCCACTTTTTCCCTGCTACATAATAGTGTTTTCAGATTTGCTATTCGACGTTTCCTCTTCCGGCCACCATCATCAACTTTACTTTTTCTTATGGGCGCTACATTGGATTTTTTCTGTTTTGAATAGAACAAAATTTTACCTTTTCAATTATGTGTCATGAGTTATCATTCTTTTTCGTAGAATTTGAGACATTGAAAACAATCAATTCTTATCATAATAGGCTTTGAGTTTGATGTTTCTGAATTTGACTTTCAATTTGTTACACTCAATGACATTTTGTTATTGTACAAGTCATTGAATTTTTGGCGAAAGATGGCTTTCACGAATGAAGAAAAAAGAGATACGATACAAATTTTTTATAAATACGATAGAAACAGTGTTAGGACATCGGAAATGTATTTAAACTTGTATCCCGAAAGACGACAACCACATCAAACTATGTTGAAGTTATTTAAAAGTTTCTGTTTTTTCCGGATATCTCCGGATATACTCGGAATTTCAGAACTTTCTAAATGGCACATTGTTAGTCAGGTAAATGGGCAACTTTGCTCCAATTCAACCATCTTCGTATCTCTCATTAATTTGAAACAGCCTGTATTTCATCATCATTTTTCCTCATCTGCTAAGTATAATTTCCGCACCCAACTGCAAGGTACAGATCAAGGCAAAAACGTCAGCCATATCTGAGAATTCAGTGCCTACTATTTTGGAATTATCGAGAATTACGTCAGAACTATTTTTCGTGAACTAATACTCATACCTAAATCTACCAAGAAAAGGAAAGTAATTGAAATAATAAAAAAACAACATTTCCACTCCTTAAATTTTTTCAAACAGGAAATTATAATGTTCAGATAACCGGAAGAAATTCAAAATTTTGAATGTTCATTATTGCTTTCTCATTTCATCCTGTATGAAATTTCGGAGTTGAAAAAATACTCACCATTGATCTTGGATCGGCAGAAGGTGCTGTAACAGAAACAAAAGAATCAATAAATATTTTCAATAATAAACTTTTTTGAAGATCTTTCGTTATCGAGATACAGGATTTTGAGTATTCCTTTTATAATAGCTTGCTAGATTTTTTTTTCGTTTCAATGTCATGTATGTTCGTAGCTCCATATCTCTATAATTATTCATTCTAGTGTATCGTGGCATATACAGTTCGATAGAGAAATTTTTAGTACATACATTGATAGGGGTAATTCGGGAGGATTGGGACAGCGGGTGGTCTGGGACACACCCGTTTGTGATTTGAATTTACCGCGGAATTCACATTGTGTCCATGAAATTATGATCCGTTCTCAACTTCCGACAGTTGACTCTCAAAACAAATAGAGTGCGGACATCGTTTTGTTATCCTGATCGCTGTTCGTGTTTCCACGTGCTCAAAGTAAGTAGTCACGTACCCAACATTGTTCAATTATTTCATAAACATTTATAGAGACACCCACCAAAGGTAGTTTGATATGAAGTTAGATGTATTAACGACATTATCCTGTATTTTGGCTATTTTGTCACATATTTTTTTTATGATTTGAATATAAGCTACTTGAATAAACGAAACTGGCGTTACCACAGTACATACACCAACTAAAATAATTGCAGAACGTGGGCAAAAACAAGTTGGTCGTGTGACATCACAGAACGACTTGTGACTATTTTATTCATCGTGAATGCTGCTGGACATGATATTCCCCCAGTATTTATATTTCCAAGAGTCAAACCAAACAATGCTTTCGTAAAACAAGCACCTGAAGGAAGTCTATAATCTCATAATCAAATATTCACGTTGTTCCAACGATGACCCTATACTTCTTATAAGAAGAAGAAGAACTTCATTTTCAGATAGGCAAGCCTAATATAAACATAATTAATGTACTTTATCTAAATATAATACATTGTTATTTTGGCATACATTGATAATACAGATGCCACTCTAGAAAAAAATACAGTTTCTTTGATATTTTGCTTATTATATAGTCAGCATGATCATTCAATGAAATTATATTATCTACGATAATCACGGGAGCCACATTCAAGTTGAAGTCATGAAAAAGCGAAAGAGGTTGGTGTTCACTCATTAACATTTTCTCTCCATTGCAGCCATAGGCTGCAACCTCTGGATGTTTCCATTTATGGTCCATTCAAATCCAAATATAATTCAGCATGCAACAATTGTATGATTGATAACCTGGGCAAGACAATTACGTTGTATGATGTTGGAGAACTAGTAAATATAGCCTATGAGGGCTCTTTCAATAAAGCCAATATTATATCTGGATTTAGAAAAATTGGCATTTGTCCATACAGGAGTGAAGCTTTTGGAGAAGAATATTTAATGTCTGCAGTATCTGACCGCCCTAAGCCAGAATATACTCGAGTTTTAGATTTGTCTCAGGAAATGCCATGTTCATCTAAAGATACGTCACAAAACTTTCGATCAATTCCTCACTCATCTCATGAAACACATTCGGATGAACTTCTATCTGTGGAAATGCTACCTGATGAATTGATTATTCATCATAATTCCCCTCCAACAAGCAATATCCTGTCACCACAGGATATTAAGCCTTCTCCGAAAGCTGCCCCTAGAAAATCAAGTCATAGAGGAAGAAAGAAAGGAAGAATCATCATCTTGACAGATACCCCAGAAAAAGAGGCAATAGAAGAGGCAGCGAGAATGGCAGCTTTAAAGAAAATACCACGCCGTCGTCCTGAATTAGTTTGTAAGAGAAATACCCAGAAGCAACATCCTAAGAATAAGAAAGCGAAGTACGAAAGTGATAGTGAGCTCTCATCATTGAGTGATGAAATGTGTGGCGACAACGACGTGGACATTAGCGAATCAGATGAAATCGAAGTACATCAGACTCCTTTAGAAATAAGTGACTTCGTATTAGTAACAGTTCCGACCACGGTAGGGAACAAGAGAAACTGAATGATTCAGAATTCAGTGTTACTTTTTTACGAAAGAAATCTGACTCTTAGAGATTTTTTTACCCGATTGTTGAGGACAAGAGCATTGTAGAGGAATGCGACATACTTTCCAAATTACCAAAACCACAAACTGTGGATGGTACAGATCGAGCAGATTCACTTTTAAAATTCAATATTGACTTAACAGATTACCAAATTAATTAGTCCCATACCACCCGTATCGGGGTCCCATTCCACCCGACTCAACGGCACTATAGTTTCAATAGATGAACATTTCAACCTAGCAGACCACTATTATAATATTCATGCAGTCATTGTTCACTGTGGTTCTGGCGTTGAATTTGGTCATTATTACGCCTTGGTCAAAGAAGAAACGGACCGGTTTAAGTTTGACGATAGTCGTGTCACGAAGTGTTCTGGTTTACTAATATATGATGTCGCTTGGCGATTATCAGCCAATTTTGGTCTACGAATTCGAATTGAATCGAAGCGCTGCCGAAACGGTCCAAAAAAAATCAACCACAATTTGATGTTGCGTTGGCTTGAGAAATTTCGTTCCAGTAATCCAAGGCGAGGATTTGGTGGACTCTGGTGGAGACTGAACCATCACAAACACTGCGTGGGATGACTGAT